TGGATGTTTTCCATTTAATACTATTAATAAATGAATAAAATAACTGATTTTTTCTGGTTGAATGAAAGTAAGCTCATCTTTGCAGGCACTCCCTGAAGCATCTTCAGTAAAGCTGCAATAATAGAAAGGATAGTGAGAATGATCTGTAACTTATCCTGTTCCCATATAATTTTGATCTCTTCTACTTAGTCTCTACATTTTGGAAGCTTTTATGTATTTGTTTACTTATTTATTTATTTTTGTTCATGTGGTATCATAAAATTAAAGAATTAGATATGTAAAGGGCTTCAGAGGCAATCTTGTCTTATCTCGTCACTTTATACATGAGAAAACTAAAAGCTAGAAAAGTTAGGGATTTGTTCAAGCTCAAAAACATCACAGTTAATCAGTCAACTGGTCAATAAATATTTATTAAGCTCCTGTGCCAGGCACTGTGCTAAGTGCTAGAATATGAGGAAAGGCAAAAGACAGTCCCTGCTCCCAAGGAGCTCATGGTTTAATGTAGGAAAGGGATACAAGTTGCAAACAACTCTTTACAGGATTCAAGCAATCTATATATAAGATGAATTGGAAATAATTAAGAGAGGGAATGCTTATTAGCCGAAACTTAAAAGAAGCTAGGAAGCAGAGATGGTGAGGGAGAACATTCCAGAAATGGGGAACAGCCTATATCCTTTATCATGTGGAATATTGTATTCCAAGTTCTCTACTTCTTTACACTGGTGCCTGCTGAATCATTTGTGATTTTGACCATGGCCACTCCCTACTAGAATTCTTTCAGCTGCTTGCAGTATGTTTGTTTCTCTGTTTGTTTGTTTGTTTGTCTGTTTTTTTTTTTTCTTTGACTTAGAAGCCCTGGATCTGGACTATAATATGCCTGGGATTTTTAATTTTGGAGTTTCTTTTGGGAGGTGAACAGTGGATTCTTTCTGTTTCCACTTGGTTCTCTGGTTCTAAGAGATCTACACAATTTTCTTTTAAGATTTCTTGAAATATTGTATGTAGGCTCTTGGTTCTTTATTTTGTTTTTGTTTTTTGTTGTGGCATTCAGGTAGTCCAGTGATTCTGAAATTCTCTCTCCTTTATCTGTTTTCTAGGGCAGATATTTTTGTCTTCTCTTCTTCTTGTTTTTGTTCTTGTTCTTCTTTGTCTTTGTCTTTTTTTGACTTTGTTTTCATATTTCACGTTGGCCCATGGAGTCATTGGCTTTATTTTGGTCCATTCTAAATTTCAGGGAGTTTGTTGTTTGGCAAGATTTAGTAATTCTTGGGCCAAAGTGTTAGTTCTTTCTTCTATAACTCTCATTTCTTTTTCCATCTTTTTTTGCTTTCACTCTCTCATTTAATTTATATTAAATTTTAAACTCTATTTTTTTTGTCGCTCCATCTCTTCCAAAAACTCTAGTTGAATTTGTGTCCATGTTATATTTTTCTTTGAGACTTTGATTGTAGATGGCTTGGACTCATTCTCTTCTTCTGAGTTTTTGTCTTCTGATTGTGTGGCCTTGTCACCATAATAATAATAATAATAATAATAATAATAATAATAATAAGTATTATTATTAACATTATTATTTATGACATGACTGTTTTGTTATTTTGTTGGCCCACTTCCTCTAGACTATTTTCTGACTTCAGATTTGATGTTAGGGCTAGGCTCTGAACATTTCTGGAGGGAAGGTCCGGTCTGATTCTGTTGCTGCTTTCTCACAATATTGAGTGTTGTGTTATTCTACAGTTTCAGGGACTCTTAGTGTTTCAGTGTTCTCAAAGTAGCCTAATCCAGGACGAAGTCTGGTTGGACTTCCATTTTTCTTTCCCCTCCTCTAGTTTGAATTCTGTGAAAGTTCCTGATCCTGTTTTGGGCCTGAGTAACAACAGTCTCCTGCTGGATTTAGACACTATCAGTCAACTAAGAAACTGATTGTTCAGTGTCAGAAAATCAGGTTCCATTAGGTCCAGGATTCCTGTTCTGGTTATTTCTCTGTGGGATTTAAATTGGACTAAAGATTGGAACTTGGTCCCTGTTTTGCTCTTGGGATCTGAGCCACACTGCTGCTGCTTGCTTCAGAAACTTCTTGTCTTAGTACACTATCTAGGACTTGCTATCACTCTTCAAGCCATGATGCCATTCCTGGGAAAAGATCTACTTCTCATTATACCCTGGATTTGTGACCTGGAACAGGGCAGTAGGTGACAAAGCTGCCAGTCATTGCTGTTGTACTGTTCCAGTATGGGTCTGGAACCTTCTTTTGCCCTGGAGTACATCCTCTCCCTTTCTTTGAAATACATCTCATGTGACCGTTCCTGGCTAGACCCTTTTCCCACTGTCTATTGACCTCTCTTTCTGTTTCCTTATGCTGATTCTGGTTGTAAAAATTACTCATTGTTTCTTTTCCTTGGATTTTTCCAACAGGATTTCTTATGGTACATTTTCTTGATCTTTTTTGGAGGAATTAAGGAAGGGTAGGAGAGTTTAATATACTTCTTCCTGCTACTCTACAATTTGGGTAAAGTCTTACTTTTGTATTAATATTTACCTTTTGCTGTCACAAATCATAGGTCTAACTGTACATAGTAAGTTGATTCAGCAATGACATCCATATCAGCAATGACCTATTTCCTGTCAGTTAAACTATAATTAATTTTGTTATGTTATTAGCTAATCATCTTGTCTACTATTTCCTAATTCTTCCTTTAAAAAAGAAAAGTTTAAATCCTAAACTATAAGTGAATAATTATTATGTAATCTAAAAGCCTTTGACCTCTCTCATTTCTTATTATTAAGTCATACTTTTCAATATATTTTCCAACATCTTCCTTATGCCTATCTTTGCAATGAAATCATCACACATCAAAGTATATATGATAACTTAATTGATTCTTTAGATTTCTTCATAGAATTTTTCTACTTCCTTGTCCTCTGCAACATAGGATTGGTATATAATTTGCAATTATTTTGTTGGTAACTTTTTAGATAATATTTTTTCCAATTATGTGCAGAGAAAATTTTAGATACTCATTTTTGAAAGATTTTGAGTTCCAAATTTTCCCTCCCTCCCTCCCCTCTCCTCTCTTCAAAACAGTAAGTAATCTGATATAGGGTAGTATCTGTGCAATCATGTAAAACATATTTCCACATGAGTTATGTTGTAAAAGAGAAAACAGAATGCAAGGGAAGAAAAGATGGGAAAAATATTTTATAAAGTGAAAACAGTATTCTTCAATCTGTATTCAGACTTCATCAGTTCTTTATCTGGATGTGCATAGTATTTTCCATCATGAATCTTTTGGAATTGTCTTGGATCATTGTATTTCTGAGAAGAGCTAAGTTAATCATAGTTGACTACCACACAATGTTACTGCTACTGTGCATAATGTTCTCCTGATTCTGCTCACTTCACTCAGCATCAATCCATGTAGGTCTTTTCAGGTTTTTTCTGCAATCCACCTGTACATCATTTCTTATAGGACAATATTATTCCATTACGATCATATACCACAACTTGTTCAGCCATTCTCCAATTGATGGGCATCCCTTGCATTTTTAATTCTTTGCCACCACAAAAAGAGCTGCTATAAATATTTTTGTACATGTGAGTCCTTTTCCCTTTTTGTAGCATCTCTTTGGGATACAGACCTAGAAGTGCTGTTGCTGGGTCAATGGGTATCTTTGCACAGTTTGATTGCCCTTTGGGCATAGTTGATAGTAACATTTTTGTAAAAAGCTTATAGTTAAGTGTAAACTGTAAGGTGATGAAATGACTCATAAAATGATGTTTCTTGCCTCTGAATACATGATGAAATAATTTCTGACTCTTTTATGTGTCTCTCAAAGGAGGACATGGCAGCCACCTACCCCTTTAGTAACTAGCTTTTGATTTTTAGTTCCATTTATGGTTAGAATGTTAGGATAGATAGCATTCAGTTCCTCAAGTTATATTCCCACTCATTGGTCTCACATTTAGAATGGCAATAAACTAAGTTGATGTTTACAGATGTCTGGTATAAAAACTGTGTGATTGTCAGCACCCCTTGCCTCCTTTTCTATTACACTGTCACCATCATCACAGAAATGAAAGATGAATACACAGGTCTGAGGCCAGTTTTCCATTTTCCTTTTTTACACTTCGTCATGCACAAATAATTGTCACTGCACAGCCAACCTACTAGTAATGAGTTGTTTTGTTGTTGTGGTTGTTGTTTTTGTTTCTGCTTTTTTGTATTTAGTTAGATTGATCCTATATTTGAATGGCCATAATTAGTTCCTAAGACCCTACTTTAAGTCATTCTAGCATTGAAGAACCTCTCATAGCTCATGCTCTATCAGCATTGCTTTTAAAAACCCAAAATCACCAACATGTCATAATGAAGCATGGAAATAGAATATTATGGAACAACTATGTCCATGGAATAATACCACGTACTTATGGAGTACCACATAGATTATGGAGGTGATGATTATTGGGACCAACATTTAATACATAAAAATAAGGAGCAGCCAATGAAAATCTGAGCATGAGAAATGGCAATCACAGATCATGCCAGAGTCTATACGAACCCTGCTACGACCTTTTGTTTTTTTTTCTCCATTCTGGATTTAGAAACAGTATGATAAAATGGTAAGAATACTGAACTTAGAGTTAGCTGATACCTGGTTTCAAAAAATTTTACTATTTCACTTACTATAGCAATATGATTAAGAAAAAGCAATTAACTTTTAAAAACCTCAGTTTACTAATATGTAAAATGGGTATGATAATAATACCACTATTAACTCCTTCATCAGTATATTATATGGCATAATTATACTAATGTATATAAAATAGATTTCAAACCTTCAAGCATTATAAATATTAATTATGACTTCCACTGCCAAGATGGCAGAGTGAGGAAAGAACCCCCTGAAACTTCCACATCCCCCACCCAACAAATGACTCAGCATTGATCTAGGAGCAGGAAAGCAGCTTAACAGCATGGCAGGAAAGGTTGGTCTCAGAGATGGGAGGGTTGCAAGGTCGAAGAGCACCAGCATCTGCAGCAGCAGCCAGCCTCACTGCAGGGGATCTACAGCAAGGTTCCAAGCCTGGGGCAATCTACCAGCCCCTCCCTCCTACAAACCAAAAGCCTCCTAGGCAAGCAAACAGTCTGTGCAAAGCAGCAAGGCCCCATTCCAGTGACCCCAACCCCAGCACAAGCCACCAGGCAGGCCTTGACCCCATTACTGACAGCGAAGTCCCACCTCAGGCTGGCCAACAGCAAGACACTGCCCCTGGGGTCTGCCAGCAGACAGACACTGCTTCTGTAACAACTTGGCATTAGGGCCCCAACCCTGGGGCAGATCAGCAATAAGATTTCTCCTCCAGGGCTTGCTAACAGAGGCTCTATTTCCATAGCAACCCAACAGCAGGGCCCCACTCCTGGGGCCCACCAGCAACAAAAGCCCTCCTCCAGGGCCAACTACCAGAAAGACTGTTGCAATAGCAACCCAGCAGAAATGCCCCACCCCTGGCGCAGGCCAGCAGCTAAACCCCACCCCCAGGGGAGGCCAACAGGGAGGCCCCACTCCCCAGTATAAGCCAGAAAGGCAGTCTACCCTCCAGTGAAAGCAAACAGCTAAGCTCTGAAGCCCAGTGAAAGTCAGTAGTAAGACTCTGAGCCTCAGCAAAAAAGCTTGGGACAATGAAGGACCAGAGCCCAGCTCTCATATACAAACACTAAATTATGTAAAAAGGCAGAAAAAGATGAGCAAAATGAACAAAAGAACAAAAACAAAACAAAAGTAATTTTAAAATGGAAAGTAACTACCGTGAAAGGGAAATTCAAGGTATAAACTTGGAAGAGGACAGCAGTGTCAAAATGGATATATGCAAAGCATCAAAGAAAAATGTAATTTGGTCTCAGGACCAAAAAGAATTCATGGAAGAGCTTACAAAAGCTTTTAAAAAGCAAATTAGAGAAGTAGAAGAAAAATTGGGAAAAGAATTTATAGTAATGGAAGAGAATCATGGCAGGGAAAAGAGTCAGTAGCATGGGAAAAGATGTACAAAAATTTACTGAGGAAAATAACTCCCTAAAAAATAGAATTGGTCAAAAGGAAAAAGGAAGTACAAAAGCTCACTGAAGAAAGTAATTACTTAAAAGTTAGAATTGAACAAGTACAAGCTAATAACTCTATGAGATATCAAGATATGTTTAAAAACGTATGTTTTAAAAAAAGATATGTTTAAAAAGTCAAAACACAGAAGAAAATGTGAAATTTCTCATTGGAAGAAACAATTTACCTAGAAAATAGATCCAAAAGAGATACTATAAGAATTATTGAACTACTTGAAAACCATGATTAAAAAACAAAACAAAACAAACAAACAAACAAAAAAGACTGGGCAACATCATTCAAGAAATTATCAAAGAAAACTGCCCTGATCTATTAGAACCACAGGGCAAAGTAGAAATTAAAATAATTCACTGATCACCACCTGAAAGAGATCTCAAAATGAAAACTTCCAGGAACATCAAAGCCACATTTCATAGCTCATAAATCAAAGAGAAAGTACTGAAAACAGTCAAAAAGAAACAATTCAAATATTGTGGACCTGCAGTCAGGATTACATGGTATTTGGCAGCTTTCACATTAAAAAAATAAAACAAAAAAATGGAAGGCTTGGAATATGATATACCAGATGGCAAAGGAGTTAGTATTAGAACCAAGAGTTGTCTACCCAGCAAATTGAATATAATCTTTCAGGGATGGGGGAAATTGACATTTAATGAAAAAGAAGACTTTCAAGCATTCCTAATTAAAAGACCAGAGCTGAATAAAATATTTGACCTCCCAACACAAGACTCAAGGGAAACATAAAAAGGTAAAAAAGAAACAAGAAATAGAAAGCATAAGAAATTCAATAAAGTTAAACTCTTTATATTTCTATCTGGCAAGATAATGTTTGTAGCTCTTAAGGACTTTATTACTATAAGAGCCATTAGAAAGAGTGTATGTAGACAGAGGATGTGGATATAAGTTGACTTCGATAGGATGATATCCCAAAAAATAAAATAAAATAAAAGGGAGAAAGAAGATTGCACTGGAAGAAAGAAGGGGAGTGATAGATTGAAGTAAATTATCCCACATAAATGTGGTATATAAGAGCTATTATAATGGAGGGAAAAGTAGGCAAAGGTGGTGAGCAAAGCTTAAACTTTACTCTCATCAGAATTGGCTATAAGAGGGAATAACACACAATCAGTTGAATATAGAAATCTGTCTTATAAGGAAGTAAAAAGGGATGATATAAGAGAAGGGGAGGAGGGGCTTATAAAAAGGCAGATGGGTTTGGGGATATGGTAATCAGAAGTAGGACACTTATGCGGAGGGAACTGGTGAGAGGTAAGATAGAGAGGGGGATGAACAAGGGAAAAATAGCATGGAGGTGTACATACGATTAGTTATCATGACTATACATGTGAATGGGTTGAGCTCACCTGTTAAATGGAAGCAGATAGCAGAATGGATTTAAAAACAGAATCCTACAATATATTGTTTACAAGAAACACATCTGAAGCAGAGAGATGCACACTGGATACAGGTAAGGGGTTGGAGCAGAATTCATTACGCTTCAGCTGAAGCAAAGAAAACAGGGGAAGCAATCATGATCTCAGCCAAAGCAAAAATAGATCGAATTATAAGAAATAAGGAAGGAAACTATATCTTACTGAAAGGTATCATAGACAATGAAGACTAAACATAATGCACCAAATGGTATAGAATCTAAATTTTTGAAGAAGTTATGGGATGCAGCCAAAGCAGTAGTTAGGGGAAAATTTATATCTCTAATTGCTTAAATCAATAAAACAAAACATAGAAACAATA